CCGATCACATGCCATCTTTGTCATGAAGCTGTCTCAACAAAACGTATATTTTGTCTTCTACTGCTAATTAGCAAATTATTAATTTTGAAGTTTGGACATGAAATTGATACATGCTAATTTACTTATAAAGGTTTAAAATATGACTAGAACAACACATGGTCATCGTATAGGCATATGCAGAGATAACACTAGTAACAAAAAAACGAAACTAAAACAATAATAACTGTGACGACCAAAACGTACAACTTGTTTATGTCTCTGCCTGCTGATACTGAAATTATGGATGGCGCTTCGGATCTGAGAATCACCTGCATTGAAAACCTCTAGTTTTCTGTCAACTCATCGAGAACCAGAAATTACTTGTTCAGTCACACAGTACATCCAATAATCATATTATCCCTTCAGAAAGTTTACATGGCCTTCCTGCCAAAAACTATGCTCCTTTTGATAATCCTAACAATTGTGGCAGCATGATCAGCCTCTCATCAAGAAGCGACAACTCTCAAGTGACAACACTCAAGAACAGCCGTACCTCATATCCATAATATAGTCCTCAAATGACGATAATTCTTATTTGGCTGCACAGTCAATTATTCGATTAACTGTGTAACATTCTGTGCACAAATTGTGCTCCCGTATATACACTATGAAAATACATATAGTGTATATGATCATGTAAAACAGCCGTCAGCGTGCAATTATGCACGTAAGAAGTATATATGTTTCTCTTCCATATATGTATACGTAGTATGAAGTATATATACTTCTTTTGCGAATACATAAAGTGCATATGCTGTATGTTACATTATACAATATCGACGATGTGTATATGTTATGCATATTATTCAATGTCGCTCCTGCAAAGGATATGAAATTTACGCGGATTGAATGAGCCGTGTCGTTCCTCTTGTCGAGAAACTGCTTAACCGTCAGCGCGAACCAAAAGTTTGACTCTCGGTTATGAATTGACGACTAGCTATGACCTCTGAATCTTATCAGTCTCATAACCCTTAAGAAGGCTCATTAACCCTTATCCTTCCTGTGACATGCGGATCCAAAAGTCTCTGTTAGTGAAACATCTTTTATATTGTGCTTAAAATAAACCATTTTTTGCTCTTAATCGCGAATACAATATTCCATCCTCTGTACATATTAGCATATAGTCTGTGTTGATATATATGGCATACATACGTGCACAATACATATTTATATTTCATGCACATTTGTAGATATACGTTATGTAAAGCTGTATGAAATATATGCATTAATAAATACAGTAATACAAGATATGTTGGCATATTGAACTGGTGGCCGATTTCAGGAAGAAGACGTTGATGGTGTGAGACATGAATACACACGGACGAGCATAATCAACTTTGTGGACTTAGCTGGTAGCGAAAGGGCAAGCTACAGCACTCGCTTGAAGGAGACTCGAATGATCAACAAGTCCCTAAGTTGCCTTAGCAAAGTGATACTCCAGCTATCTGAAAAGCAGTCGTATATTAGCTACCGGGATTCTGTTTTGACATGGTAAGATGCTTTGACATTTGTATCGCAATATACATTATATACGTTTTAACTCTTTTCGAGACAGTCGTCAGTGAAATATGTTTTACTGTAAAGCCAGAACGATCTTTCTCGCTAAGTTAAAGGTTTTGCCATGAAATTTGCACTTCTGAATAAGTCAAAATACAAAATACGCTTTAAAGTTCGTTAAACTTTTTATAGTAGGGCACTTTTGTTTATCTAGTTTTTGTGTAGGCTGCTGAAAGAAAGTCTTGGAGGCAACGCCAAGACGTTCATGTTGGCTACTGTAAGTCCCTTGAAAGCGCACATCGAAGAGACGCTGAGCACCCTGCGCTACGCAAGCCACGCTCGCACCATCATTAACAGAGCGCACGTCAACGAAGACCCTGCGTACACGTTCATCAAAAGTATGCGTGCTCTTAATGTTTGCTGTGGTAAATGAT